GAAACGACAAATAATTTTCATGGGCAAGTGGCAATTGGCTTGAATATTTGCACCATCAGCTGTTGAACATCGGCTTCGCCGTTTTTTGATGAGGTATATTTACGTTTTATACTTTCCTTAGCCTTTACCAACTCCTCTAATATATTACTTTCCTCCCTCATGAGTCATGATTGCGTTTTAAATGATATTYATTCACTAAAAACTTAAAACACCCTCTTATATAACTACATGCGTATCAAGCCCTAATCGGTAACGCCCGCTGTCACGTTCACTATCTTTACAAATGACTACAAACGCAAACCTATCACGATTCCAGCACACGGTACAAAATTGTTTGAATTGTATATACGTCATATCGCCCGAACAGTGTTCATTATAAATTTATAAACATGTTTTTAATTAGTTTCGTCTTGTTTGAACAATAATACTATTATATTAACGTTATCGCGTATCAGTTGTTTGGGTACTATTGAATAACTGAGCTAGATAGAATATATCTACTTTATTAAGCCTCCCCCTGGAAAAATATTCCTTTRTTACCCCCTGCTGTTCTCCAATAACGTCGTCCATGATAAATATAGAGTTTGGCAATACTTTTYCGGGCGCGATGACTTTATCGTTCTCGAAAAACGTGAAAATGTTAATTCCATCAATACCATCAATAATACCCTTCAGTAATTTATATTTCGGTTGTTCCAGCGTTTTAAAGTATATGTAAATGTTTTCAAATCGAAGCCTGTTTTCATCGACGAGTAGAAAATATATCAAATTCGTCTTGCCGCAACCCGAACTCCCCAATACTAGGGAGCGTATCGTGTTTGGAAATAACTCGTCATGTCTATACTGTACTGTATCGGAGGTATCGATGTTATAAACTCGAAGTTTTTTCTTTTGCTCGATAAAACGCATTTTGCAAAGCAAACGTTACGCTATAAATACACATGTAATACTGTCTATGATAGTGTCACAYGATGTCTCGCGTTCGTAAACGAAACACCAATAAGGGTTCTGGCCTTGTTAACTCAGTAATAAACCATTTACCGGTGGAATTACCATTTACCCGGTTATAGGTAAGTCGGTACATTACATTATTAATTCCTAACTAAATTTTGGGTTTGCATTTAGATTCGCCGGTCCTGGAACGAAATTAAAAGAAAGGCTGGCGCGTGGTGATCGAGGCGTAAACAGTTTGACGAGTTGGCTAGAGCTCATGATATCGCGTATGATAAAAGTAAATCACTAACTGATAGACACAAAGCTGATCAAATATTTGAAAATCAAGCTTGGGAAGTGTTTAAATCCAAAAACAGTGGTATTAAGGAAAAAGCCGCATCTTGGTTAGTTACTATATTACAGCTATGAAAGTCAAGCGCAAGATGGGAGCCGGTTGTGGTATAAATAAAGTCGAGTATAGTGTCTACAATATTATCAGTAATCAGTTGTACCTAACACAATCACTTTACCGACAAGTCGTTCTTCTCTCTCTCAAAGTGTTTTAAACATGGCTGGTTCAATCACGGATAATACGGCTATATACCAAGAAACCCTTTGCATATATTCCACCAACACCTCCTTCAGAGCTCACACAAGGGCATAGAAGGACTATGCAGGTATGTACAAAATTCAAAATGTATAATGATGATAATTTTTAGGGTAGCGTACAATAATTCGGGACCCTATTTCTTTCGCTCAGCTGTCCGTTCGTCTGTCACCATGCTGTATCTCATATTATATTATATCAAATCATATGTACCTACACGCACTGAATTAAATCTTTTTTTTTAAGGAACAAAAAAATATTGGCGATATGAAACTCAGTATTGACAATTATGAACGAAATCTAAATAATTCCAACGTAACCATGTATGTTAGTGCGAAGGGCCGAAGGCCTCTATAAAGATAGGCTATGATTTTATATATTGAGCTTTACAAAAAGTATTTGATAAAGGGGCTGCACCGTCTAACTTAATACACCAAAATAGATCTCAAATACAAACTTACAACATAACAATCGTCAATAGTTATAATAATACCATTCAGATAAAAAGCAAGCTTCGGCGTTTA